TTATAAATAAATTCTTATATATCTGTATATGTAATACTAATAATTATAAATTAAATACAAGTATAAGCATCATAGTTAGATATTAAAATAAATTTCTGAAATATTTTAATTAATCACAAGTATAACATTTATAGTATATGAAAATTGATTTTATAGTTTAATATTTTTAGTTTAACTATATATGATTTTGTATAAATTTTGCAGTTCGTAAATATAAATTCATATTTCTTTTTATAGCTATTTAGAATTTATAAAAATAAAATTTATGACAAATGCATAAATGAATGAGAGTTTAAATTAATTAAATAATTATTATTTTGCCGGTATTTTAATAGTAAATATTAAAAATTCTTTCTATTTTAGAACTAATTCGTAAATAATTTTTTCATATATCTTATAATTTTTCATTTAATTTCTATTTTAAGTTTTAAGTTAAATTAAATTAAAAAGGACGCATATTAATTTTTATCACAATATCTGTTTATACCAGTGAGAAATCACTTTCATTACTATGACCGTAATCTGTACGCAAGGAATCGAATCATTATGTTTTTTCAATAATAATCCATAAAATACTTGTAAGTAGAAGGATTAAAGATATTTACTTTAAAAGTAATCACTTTTTACGAATTTATTTGCTGTATAATTAAATTTTATTTATTAGAGCAAGTGTATTTTTAATTAGAAATTTCATAATATTAATTATAAGAGCCCTGAATATTAATTATAAGACCCCTGATCACAATATAATGATCGAAATATTTGGTTAAAATACTTTAAGAATTTCACAAAAAAGTATATCATTAAAATAAATTTTTGTTATACAACCTATGTTAAAGAAGTATATAATATGTGTATGTAATAAATTATATTGAGTCATTTATATATAATTATGAATATTGTAATTACTGATTTTTATGCCATTTATTCGAGTTGTTTAAGTTTTTATTTATTAATTAATTTTCAAGAATTGTGGTTTTTCAATATAACAATTTAAGTAATTTATTTTAATGAAATAAAAGAAAATAAAAAATGAACAAAAAAAAAATAAATAATTTTTTAATTTTAATTTTATTTATTTATTTTATATTTTAATTTGTTCATTTATTTTATATATGTATGTATGTAATGAAATATTTGTTTCAAGTTTTAATATTATTATATAAAGCTTTTTGTTAGTCTCCTTGCTTGCATAAGGTTTAGTTCATATATAATTATTTTAATTATATTTTTTTTTTATTTAATTTTATTATTAAGATAAGTTTGTAATTAAATTTTATTAAATATTATTTTTTACATATAAACATAAAACCTACATTTATTTTGTTTTTTTTTTATTTTTTAATTTTTTATTTTAATAAATATTTCTAATTACAGTTATAATTTTTTTTTTTGGTTTTTTAAAGTTCATTATTATAAAAATATTTTTTTAAAGGTAAAAGTTTTGCTGCCAGAAAAATAAAAAGCCATTTTAATTTTAAAATTTTGTTGATTATTTTTAGTTTTTTTCTTTTTTTGTTATAATTTTTATGTTTTATGTTTTTGGTCGAACATTTCTTTAAATGTGTTTTCATTTTCGTTTTATTTCATTATCTGCCAAGTATGACATTTGAGTTTCGATAGTATAATTTTGTGAAACTTTTCCAAAGCGCGTATTTCATCTTCAAAATTAATTTAATAATGTTTAAGTATTTTAAGACTTAATAATGAAATTTTACTAGACATAGATTGTTGCCGACAAAAAAAAAAATTAAAATTAAAAAAATTTAATTTATTGAACGATTTTTTTTGGCATTTGGAAAATGTTTAATATATACATATAGATAATATTTATAGTTGTATATGTATAATAAAAGTTATTAGAATATTGGCCTATTTAATTTCAGTACATGATAGAGTCTGATTTACGTATGTACATATATTTGAATTTGGGCCAGAAAAGTTTGTTGTGTTGTGTATTCCATAAAATTATTAAAAATAATTTATTCTTTTTGCAAAAAGTATATGTTTTATACATATTTGCATATATTTCATGTATCTTAATTATGCAGATTATAAAAAATCTTAAAATATTTTATTGTTTGAATCTAGTTAAAAGACAAAATATGCAAAAAGAATTTCATATTTTCATATATACATAGATTATGGTTTGTTTCACAAAAATTTGGAATGTGGAAATACGCAAATACATTACAAACAACACAATATTATGTCAATGTACATATATACGTGTATGTATGTGTAACTCACTTTTTTTTTACGAAAAAGGTAAGATATTTGTTTTACAAAACAATTTATTATTTTCAATTTCTAGTTAAGAGTAAATTATATTTTTTCCTAATTTTTTGAATTTTAAGTATAATAGACTTAATTTTAGTGGTAAAAGAAGTCACAATGTTTTTAGCAATTTATAATGTTAAAAGGAAAAATTTTAATAATTTCGGTCACATACAAACTCATGAAGTTCTTTAATAAATTTCTGGATAAAATTTAATTGTTTCTCAATTAACCTCTTTTTTAGGGGGTTATTGTAAAAAGGGTGCACATTATTTACAATATTACTATTTATTCCTTTGATTGACAATTTCGAGTTTTAATATTTTATTTTATTAATTTTCGTCTCGTTTTATTCACAAATTTAGAAATATCAATGATTTTATTAATATATACTGTTTGCTAATCTATAATAAATGCGTTTTGCGTTTAACACGGCAAGTGCAGTATTAAAGAGAAGTTAAAATATGATTTTAAATCTACCATGTATGTATTTAATTTTTATAGTGTGATCAATGCAAAGAGCGTAAATACCAACATGAATTATAATAATAGATTAATAATTGTCATTTATATGATTAGCAATTGGACATATGACTAATGATTTATTAATGTCATTTTAAATAGCAATCATTCTAATTATTACTATATTTTGGTTAATGATGAATTGAACTTTTGATTGTGGTGAACGTAAAACGATTTGAAGTTTTGAATTACATAAAATGTGCCAAAATTGTTACTTACAGTACTGGGCTTATTAATATCATTTTAAAATCATAACCCCAGGTTCCTTTTTATATTTATAAAAAATATTTTCTATACAAATCCGTAATTAATTTTAATTTAATTTTAATCAAAATTTTCTATCATTGGTTTGGAATAAATTTTGAAGATATTTACTCTTTTTTATAAATTGTTCTTTTAAATAAATAAATTGTTTTGTTTAAAATTTTTGTTTTTAGGCTGTTGCAAATTTTTTTTTTAGCTATTCATTTTTATTGTCTTTTCCCTCATTACAACATTATATTTCAAAAAGTTTGTATATATGTAGTTTATTTTATTAAAGATTAATTTATTTATTTATTATTTTGAATTATAACTTCATTTTTACCTGTGTTTTTTGAATAGATATAATTGTGTTAGTGTTATTGTACGTATATTAAAAAATGTTTTTTTGCAATGTAATGTATAAGCATAATTGTTTCCGTAAATTTTATTGTATAATTATTTAATTAAAATAAGTTCGATATTGTGTTTCTTTTATTAAATCAAATTAGTTTTAGAATTATTTTTGGTATTTTTATACTAATTAGATATTAGATTTATTTTCATATCTTAAATATAATTTGCATATGTGTTTAGATAATAAAATTTCATATTAATTTAATTTTAGTATTATTAAAAGAAACTAATTATACAAAAACAAAAAAAAAATTAAATATTTTTAATTAAAATTATTAATATAAATTAAATAGAATTTATTGACTAATAAAGCTTTTTTTTTGTTTTTTGTTATAAGTTTTAAAAATATTTTAATTTTATATTTTTCGTTTTGCTACTTTCGCGAAATTAATTTTTATTTTAACTCCGTATCACTTTAATTTTGAAATTAAATTTAATTTTTATAATTATATACATATATATATATATTTATATACATAAATTTGAAAGATTTAATATTTCTTTTAATATGTGGTTTGTAATTTACTAAACTTTATCTCTGATTCTCTGTCTATACTTTAAAATGACTAGTTCAACATTATTAGTTAAGATGACATTAAGATTCACAATAATTATTCACTATTTAGATTTAGTATATTAAATACGGTAGTATTATATATACGAAAAATGACACTTAAATTTTGTTTACATTTTGACAGTGACAAAATTTGTTTTACATTTTAGAATTTAAATGTTTTAAAAAACATATTTTGAATGAGTACATTTTTTTAATTTAATTTTTAAAAAATTCAATTGTAAAATAAATTTTTTCCCTTTGAATTGTACTCTATATAGAATGCATTCATAAATACGATCGCCATATGTATGTAGTTGTTTTTTTACACATTATTCAGATTATATAAATACATACAATTTAATTATAAGTTTATAAATGTGTCGAATTCTATTAGAAGTAATCATCAAAGAAAGAGAAAAACAGAATATACATACATATATTCATTTATATATTTTAGTCATTTGACAAAAGGTCAGAGTAAAATCTTTTGTAGATTTAAAAATAATTTTCTATTCTTGTGTTCTGGAAAGTAAACTACTCTTTTCTAGTATATTCTAATGTGTTATTGGAATGAAAGTGTAATTCCAAACCTATAAATTTCTGTTTTATTTTGAAAGCAGATTAAAGTGAATAATTTAATTTTTGAAAATGAATTAAAATAAAAAAATAATGTACATATTTATATATATGTTAATAAATAATTATTTATAATCAAAAATTTTTGTTTATTCTCATATAAAGATACATATAAATACTTCATATGTATATATATATATATATATATATATATATATATATATATATGTATATCATCAAAAAGAAGATTAACTATTGAAATGAATTTTTTTAACTTTGTTTCATGTTTTTAATTAATTGATTTTGTATTGATTAAAATTGTTTAATTTTTTTTTCTTTTTCGATTTATTTCAAATCTCATAAATTTTCCATTACTATACCGTGTTATTAAGACGAGCAAAATAAATTTTCCATTTTGTGTTTTGTATTTGAAGTTTTCCATTGAATTCATTCACAATATTGAATTAAGTACAATTGCTCAAAATTATCGCATAAAACTGTACTAAAATATTGTAAATAATTTTGAATATAGTACGAATTTTGTTTTACCGCTTCAATTTTTTTTTTAATTTTTACCGTTTGTTTGTTATTTTGCTCGATATTTTATCCCGTAACTCTTGTTAATTCATTTCGATTAAATTACCTTATTGTTATTATTAACATTTATTTTATTACATTTATTTGTTTTTAAATTACAATGATATGAGTACTTATTTTAAATTTATTTTATTTTTTTTTTCAAAATATTTGAATAATTTTGGAATTTCGAAAAACAGATTATGAAAGTGCATTTTAATGTTTGTTTTATTTTACTTAATTGTTTTTTTTATTTTTAATTTTTAATATATTTTATATATCGCTATTTATATATATATAATAATTTTGTCCTTAAAATATCAATAAAGTTTTGTTTTCTTTTTTTTCTCTATTGCAAATATTTAAATGGCAAATATTTAAAGTTTATTTAGAATTTTCATAATAAAGTTAAATTATTTTAATAATATTTTTTCATTTTTTCTGTATTTTTATTTACATTTTATAAAATAATACTAATTTAATTCATTATTAAAATAAAAATTATTTAAATTTTCTTTTTTCAAAAATTTAAAGTGAAATCAAAATATATAGATTTATTTTATTACACATAGAGTTCCTACTAAGCGTTTTATATTTAACATTATTATTTTATTTTGTTTTGCATAATCTACCGTAAAAAAAAGAGAATTTTTTTTTTAAAAAAGGCTTTTATTTAATTATTTTAGATATAAAAAGCATTTAAATTGTGAATTTATTTTTAAAATTTTTCAAAACAGAATGACTAAAAATAAAATAGCAAGTGTTTTTCTTTAATTATTCAGTAATCAGTATAATTATTTTTTATAGTTTTGAATTGAAAATATTGAAATCAATAATAGAAAAATAAATAAAAAATATATAAATATTTTTTATATAGCTATGTATATAAGTGTTAGGACTATATGTACAAAATGTAATCATATCTGATCTAAATTACGATTACAGTAATTTATCTACGCATATGAAAATAAATTTCTTTTTTATTATTGTTAATTTAAAAATTTCTGAATATTTTTGATGGTTATTCATAAATTGTAACTTTTTCAAATAACTTCCATTTTGTTCATAGCTCATATACAGTACCACAATATTTAGTAATATTTCAATGCAATATTATAATTGAACGAAGAAAGGAAAATATCTTCGAAAATAATCAAAATATTATTAAAAAGTAAAATATTAAATTTATTTCATTTTAAATTTTGAAATATGTATGTAAGTAATTGAAAATTCGATTTTAATAAAATTATATTGCACTCAGAAAATTATATTCTTGTTATATCACATATATATATTAAAGAATCAATTATTCCTTTTTTTAGCTAAACAATTTATTCACCTTTATTTTCTTTTTTGTTTAAATTATTTAATTTTTGTCTTTATAATCATTCAATTAAATGAAGTTGTTTTTAATACCAAATTATTTTCTGAGTGTGACAAACATTTGGTTTTGTTGTTCTTTTCTTTAAATATTTATTTTAAATAACACAAATTTATAAATTTATTTTTTATTATTTTTATTTTAATGCTCTGATAGATTCTATCCATATTTCTTTTTTTTTTTCTTCTAGTGTATATGATTTTTTTAAGGTTTTGAATAAATATAATTACAATTATTAAAATTGAATAATTAAATTCATTCAAAATATTAAATAAAATATAATATAAATTTATAATATATATGTACATGTATAAACATATTTTTATTGATATTATATTTGTTTTCCATTTTCAAATATAACAGTTTTTAACTATATTTTTAACTTTTATAACACATGCTTTAAAACAACATGCAATTTATATTCTAATTCTATATTTTTTTCTTTTTTTTAAAAGGAATGGTGTTTTGAATTTATAATAATTATCAAATTTGAAAAAAAAATCAAAATTATATTTTTATAAAAATTATTTATACTGAAAAATTAAAGAGAATTTCATTTCTTTTCATTTAACTAAATTAACAATTCTATGTATGCTCGGGGGGAGGGAGAGGAACTAAACTATGATAAAATGATTACAATAAATTCAATTTTAAATTAAGTACAATAGTACTGATTTAAAATTTGTTAATTTCTTTATTTTTTTTTATTTATTGAGAATAGAATTTTTATTTTGTTGAATAAAATTTCCTAGTTATTATGTTAAAAAAGATACACGTTTTTTTTAAAACAGTCAGTGTCAAAAGAGTCAACTCAATTCATTCACAATTTACATACATTGGAATGGAAAATTATTTTGAATATAGTTGTTTATGTCATATTTTGAAAAGCGTGTTGGTATAAGAAAATATTTATATTTAATTCTTGTAATGGAATTACTAATGAATGAATTATTGTCAAATTCAAAATTGATTTCCTATTTAATATTGATTTAATTGCACATTTATGGTACAAAACATCATATTTATTTGGATAAAAAGGAACATAACTGATGGGACAACAAATGATTTTGTGAAACCGCACTTAATCTTGTAGAAATTTAATGAGCAGAATGGGAATAAATATTGAAAAAAAGGTAATTTTTGAAACCTTAAATGCTTTTTTGAATAAATTTTGTTTTTTTCGTAGATTTTGCAAAAGGAAATTTAACACTTGAAATATTTTACATTTCTGCAATGTTTCTTTAAAATAAATACTCAATCGTATGTACAATAAATATCGTCTATATGATTGATGACTTAACTCTGCGAATTGGTAAAGTAATGTATATCGTAAACATTATTAACATAATTGGGGATTAAAAACAATCGTAGATTGAATTTTTAATAATTAGTTTCAACATTCAATAATTTTAAATTCACTTAATTTTCAGGTTCCAGAAATGATAATAATGCGTTTTTATCAAATTCTAATACAATGGAGTTTGTATTAAAAAAGGAAATATTTATGGTATATTTTATTAGTACTCATTTCTGTTTCATATAAATCTATTTATTCTAGAATATATCAAATCAAGATCAATTATTTAATAGCACGATTAAGGATTTGAAATTAAATTTAAATTTTTTTGCTTCTATTCTCAAATGATTTTAATTTACTATTAATTAACTATATAAATTATTTATTATGTATTCCAAAATTCGAATACTTTATATTTCTTAATTTAAAATTGAATATTATAGACTCAAATTAATTTAATTATTTTTGTTGTTTTGCAGAATTTATTTCATTTTTTTATAACAAAATTATAATAGAAATAATATAAAAGCAAAAAATGTTATAAGAATTGTTTTATTTGCAGTTCTGTAAATTTTAATATAAAAATTAAAATTAATGAAAAAAGAAAAGTTAATAAAATAAAATATAATTAAAATGTGAATCAATATACTTTTTTTTAGTATTTGTTAATTTTAGTTAATTATTTTGCTCTTAGAATTTTGAAAATTTGAAAAAATAAATAATATTTGTGTATCAATAATATACGGAATTAATGAATAGATTAATTTTATAAGATTTTTATATAAGATTTGTATTTGTAAAAAGAATAAAAATTATTTAAGTTAAAATGTGTGTTTGTTAATTTAAGTATTATGTAAATATTCCAAAAGCTTTTTGTTTTTATCTTCATTTATATAAGGGGGACTTATAATTTTTTTCTATATAGTTAGTTTTTTATTTTCTCGTTGATACTTTTTTTCTTCACATGTGATTAATTTTAAATTTTTAATTTTAATTATATATAGATCTAAAAAGTATTTTTTTTTTGTTGTTTACTTTATAAATAACAAAGCGTTTATTTCCAGCTAAAATTATTCTTTATTTTTTTGTTTTTTCAATAATATTTTTTGTATATTTAAGACTTTAATTTTTTGGTTTTATTTTTGTAATTTTTTTAAATTTAAATTATTCATTTTTTCGATCTTGAATTTTATTTAATTTTTTTACTTAGAAAGCTTTTCGAATAAGTTTTAAAATACTATATTTTAGTGCTATGAGATTATAAATGAAAAGAAATTAAAAAAAAACTAATTGAGAAAAAATTAAACCAAAATAAAGGGATTCTTAATTTAGAATAGAGGGTTAAGATTCTTTGAAAACTATATATTCAAATTATTACTAATATAACTAGGTATATGTATTTTAATTTACTATATATAATAAGGTAAAAGTATTAGTTTTCGTTTTTTTCTATAAAAAAAAAGAAAAGCGTGCTTTAAATATTCAATAAAAGAAATTTAATTTTGAAAATTTTAAAAAATGAAATATTTTAAAATATTTTTATCAAATTGATTCATTCAAAAAAATTATGTTCAAAATTCATTTTATTTGCTAAGAAGTTAACAAAAAAAAAAAGAAAACTAATTTTTATACGTTGAAATTTTTCTATTATGGTCTATGATCAAGAATTAATATTGGATACTAAAATAAATATTTTAAATGCTGAATCTGTATAACTTTAAATAAGTTTACTATTTTTAATTTTTAATGTTTTTTTTGTACTGACTGAGATTTTATATAAGTCACATATAATATATAGGTTTTCAATTGTATATATAAATGTTCTTATGTGTTGGGAAGACATTTATGTATTTTAAAAATTTTATCGTCTTTAAAGGTTTATGTTTTGTTTTTTTTTTTCAAAGCGGCCTTTATGTAATCGTATATAATAATTTTATATATGGTAAAAATATGAAAAAATATTTATTTAATCCAACATAAATTCTTGAAATCTGTGATTTTCAACAAGATGGAAAATGATGTGTATATTATATAATATGAAAAATAAAATTAAAATAAAAAAAAAATATAAAAGAAAAAAATTATAACAAAATCAAAAATTTATTAGTCATTAAAATGTTGTATAAAATGTATGTTTTATTTTATTTCTGTTTGTTTCTTTTTTTTATGTTTCTTTTTAAATTCTCTATCTGATCATGTGTATATGTAAGATATTTTGCAATTGATCGATTACTAATACCAAAAATATTATGAAAAATGGTAATTTTAAACCATCGATATTAGTATATAAGCGTTTGCTAGAGTTACACATATCTTCCTCACAAAAGCACATATGTCCATTGCCTGAACTTTCCATCATGCACACATGATCTACCATAAATAGATTTATTTGTAATTGTGATGTACACATTCGACGAACAACTTCATATGCTAAAATTGATAAAAATTTAGAATGAAGAGAAAAAAAAAGTGTATAACAATTAGTTAATTTAAGTTTTTTAAAAATTATATTTAATATATGTACATGTAAAAAAAATATTAAAAATATTTCTAATTTTAAATTTTTAAATAAATTTTTGTTTTTTAAATATTAATTGTTACTCTATACCAATTAATCCATACGTCTGCTTTTTTCTTTATCTTTATAGAAATTTTGTTTTTTTATGTTTTAAATTGATTAACACAGTATACTTACGAGACTTTGAGTGACGAACCATCTTAACACAACATCCGTTACAGGTCATTAAAGGAGGTTGATCCCTTGGTAAAGCTGTATAATTAAATGGATCCTTACACCGTGCATCAGTCCAAGAATCACATTCATAACAATAAATTGATCGTGCTACATTTTTTATATAAATTATAATTAAAAAAATAAAAAAGATCAATATACGGAATTTTTTAAAATGAGAGCAAAATGCTGAAGCTTGAATTTTTTTTTTTATTTCTATATTTTATTTTCATTATATACGAGTATTAAATATTATGTTTTATTATATATTATGTAATTATTCTCCTCACTATTTTCCATTATGTAGTTAAATAATACGAAATTTCTGTATTCTATAAAATTGTTCATATTTTATTAAAGGTAAGAGCACAAATGGAAGTATAGTAGTTTATAAATTGAAATTATTTAAATAGAAATTCTGTCATACAGAATGGAAAATTGTCATCTAAATTTAACGTATTTGAAATGTTTTCAATATAAAAATATTTGAGCAATCTACCGAATAAATGTGTAAAACTAAGAATGTTGAATATTGAATTAAATTTTAATATTATTTAATTCCTTTCAATTCATACATAAAATTGTTACGCTTTCATGAGATCATAACAATTTTTTATATATGTGAATTGGTACATAAAGTGTACAATTTTTGCTCCTGGACAATATAAAAGTGAATAAATAAATTTCAAGTTTATATACTTAAAATCCAATAAAATACATATGTACATGTGTATGTACAAGTCACATTATATGATGCATTCCCCAAAATAACCATAATCCACTATTTTATGTATACACAAAGTATCTTCTTTCAAATAACTTTTAATGTATAAAAGTTGTGAACATTACATAATGGCATGTCATATAAAAAATGTTTTAATATAATAAAATCTCGAATTCTTCAATTTCTCGATAACATTTCAATTTAAATTAAATACAAGTAAATTTAATTTTGTATATAATATTTTTATCCAATATTCTACTGTTTTATTTTACACATGATCGAAAAATTGATGACATAAGAGAAATTTTTGAATTTGATTACTTATGTCAAAAGGATTTTTTCTTTTTATCAATACTTGACAGACATTTTGCTCTATTATTAGAAATGAAATATTTAAAAAATGAATTTTAAAATAGATTTTCTTAACGTTAATTAATATTTAAATTAATAAATTAATTAAAAAGAAAAAAATTTCAATGAGGTGCAATTAAAGAAAGTATAAAAAACAAAGAATATTCATGTCGAAAGCTATCATAGTAAGCAGATTAGTAAATTTGAACGTGCTACTAGTTTCAAAACTAACTCTATATTTGTTACCAAAACCTAAAAGCTAATTTTTTGCAATTTCATGCAATTAATCTTCAACAAAAAAAAAATTAATATTTGGTTATTCCAAAAACATGGTATTTGAAGTTTGCGATGCCATTAATTAACTTTTTTTTTTCTTTTTGGTTAAAGATGTTTTTAAAAACAAGAAAATTTTCTTTTCAAATGAAGAATATGTTTTTGATATAATAGTTTATAACAATAACCGATGGTATTTAAATTTTATATATATATACAAACGACAGATTCAATTGATTTTAATGACAGCTGAAATTTTTATTCAATTACAAGGCGAGGCTGAATACACTGCTTCGTCGTGTTTAGGTCGAATAAAATACCTTATATAAAGATGAATTAATACAACAGATGGAATAATGGGTAGCAAACTTTTAAGAATTAAAAAACACGCCACATGAGTGGAACTGCAGCACATTCTCACTTCTAGAGAAATGTTTCAATTTAGGCCATAAACACGTTCAAAAATAGTAACACAGAAAGTGCAGGTTGCTCAGAAGATGAAATTATGAAGTTTTATCCTTCACGTTACAGTTTTACTAATAGAACACTTTAACAAAACGAGGATTGTTAAAATGCAAAGAAAAGTAGAAAAGAAATTTAATAAATAAGCTGTCCAAAACGAGAGACTTAAGTTTTGGTTGTTGTAACGGGTGAGACTCGTATCCGGGTTGACGATCCTTGGCCTAGGTTCCAGTTGCAGCTGCGAGCTGAGGGCTCTCCGGTAGGAAGGAGCGATCGTCGTTGGAGAGGGAGACTAAAGTCGATGTGACAACTGATGCAACATAACATTATCACACAGTCAGTAAACAGAGTCAATAAAATTCTGTCTCTAATCATACAAAACAAAATTGGAGACGACATCAAAAAAAGAACAAGCAGAAATTAAAAATAATAATAGTTACCAATGTGTTCTGTCAGAAAACAAATATAAAATAAGCAAACGAACACTGATCTCTCTGTACATTACTATCACAGATTTCAAGACGTATTCGAAATGTATAGAAGGGAAGGTAATATGAAAAAGTTAAAAACCCATCTGAATATGCAGATTGAGTTAGAAACCCATCTAAATTACTAAGTTACGAGTACACAAGTACAAAATTAAAATTATGTGAATCAATTCAATCAGAACTCTGCACATCATAAAATTCGAAATAATAAAAGTGAACAGATTCAATTATCCATATGGAACATTATTATTTATATTGCAGTAAAGTAAGAGTATGCAACGTTTGTGTAAAATCCACGTTGCTGTATGGCGGTGAAACCTGGCTGGCAAATATAAGTTAAAAATTAATACGTTGCAGGTGTTCACCAACAAATATCCTTGTATTATGGAAGGTACAATCTGTCTAAACAGAATCTATAATAATAATTAGCTGTGAGTCTCGAAAATCTAAACTAAATGCAAACAAAGAAAGCAAAACTGTGAACCCGGCATATATTATGAACGCTAAAAAAATATATGTACGAGTAGAATGTAATGAAGCCCGTTGGAACTTCCAATATTTGAAAATAGACAGAATGCCAATTTCGATTCAGACACGACCAAACAGTAAATCCAGCTCAAGCAATTTTTCAAAATAATTTTAATTATGATTTCTTTTTATAAAATTTTAGGGAATTCTTTTTCTATAATTTTAGGGAAATTAATTCAAATTTCCTTAAAATTCTATGAATTAGCAAAATGAATATTCCTGTTTTTTTTTTTTAATATTATAAAATACGCGAGAATTAATATGTTTTTATATTAAATGTAAACTATATGTATAAATTAATAAAAAAATAAATAAAATTATATATTCGTATGTATTTATGTGCTATATAGAACAAGCTTTTTTATTAAAATGTTTTTTATGTGCATATGATATTTAAAATTTAATGTTTTTTTTTTAATTCTTTTTAAAATTTTCTTTTTTTTTTTTAATGGAAAAAAGGGAATTATTGCAATTTAAATCTATAAAACTAATAATTTCTTTTATACTAAATATGAATTAATGAAAAAATTAGTTAATAATTTTTTTATTTATGATATTTTTAATTATTCGATTAGTTTATATTGCAAAGTAACTTTTAATTGAATAATAAATGATTCGATTAATCGCTACAAAGCTGTTTTTCAAATTTTAAGACTACAATTTTTATATTGGCTTTTTGCTTCTTTTTGTTGTTTTTACTTTTGAATTATACAAACACAATCCACAATAAAATGTTTTTTTTTTTTTATTTTTTAAATGATTAATGATGGATGAGAGGGTGTATATACAAAATACTTTAAAATAAATTTATGCGAACTCTAAATTAGTTAAAAAGAAAAGGAAAAAAGAAATAAACGAAATGAAAACAGTATTATGGAATTAGTGTATACCAGAGTATTTTTATAAAATATCAATAAAAATTCATTTGAAAATTAAATATTTAAAAATGAAAGAAGAAAAAAAATGATAAAAATAAATACAAAGAAGTTCATTTAAAAAAAAATCTTCTATTTAATAGAAAAGAAATTTTAAAAAAATAAAAAGAAATATTTTTACAAATTTTATTTTAAATAATAATTGTGATATTTTTTATATAAAAAATATAATTATTCTATATATGTATATTTCCTTCGGAATAATAGAATCACTCAATTTTACCATAATATTATAAATTTACCCCTTAAAAGTCTTAAAACAGGAAAATAATAAACAAAAATCAAAAATAATAAATCCTTTTGTCTTCTTTTACCATTGTAAATTTAAAGTATTTAGGTTACAGATAATTCTAATTTAATTCTAATTTTTATTTTAAAATTACCTGAATAATTAAAAGATGATTGGCATATTCAACTTTTGTTTAATATATGTAGAAACAATGGAATTAAGTATTTAAAATTTATGTTACATGCAAAATAATTTATAATTAGCATATTACCTATCAAATGTTGCTACTCAAAAATCTAAAAATAATTTAATTTTTTGTTTGCATAAAGAATAGTTTCTCATTTGATCTTAATTTGCTTTTTGGGTATGAGAAAGACACACTACAGATATAAATTTTAATTATAAATTTGTGGAGTAAAAATTTCTTATGTCAAAGGTTATAAAAATATTATATGTACATACATTGTAGATAATCTACAACCTACAATATGTACATACATACATAATAACAAAACTTTTTAATGTCATGTAAATTGCGTTTACATTACATTATGTGTATATGTGTGTGCACATATGGAAAAAGTCTAGTGGATTGTACATTATTATAACTTATTGTGTTGAAAAAAAATTATAGAAATATAACAATTATGTTGAGCAATATTATATAACAAAATTATGCCAAAAATTATCTTTTATTTAAAAAATCAATAGGATTTTATAAAAATTATTGGTCAATATATATGTATTATCCACATATTAGAGTATCGAAAAAAAAATTTTTGCCGAGAAATTAAAATTATATAGATCTTCATAAACGCAATACTGCAAAAACTTAAAGTGATTAGTATACAACAGTTTTTTTATAATTCTATAGAAACAAAATAGTTTAACTGCGCTACTCATAACATTTTCTCTGTATTGCTGATAATTAAGCAATGTTTACCAAAAAATATGATTTGCAACATTTGTTTGGGAACACAAATTTAACGCAGCTTTCGGTTCAAATATAGGTTTTGATAAAAATTCATAAACAAACAAATCTACAAATCTAGTTCAACCCTTATTGACAAGTATTATGTTGAAAATTGAATTTTCTTCCTTTGTTGATAAAACCCTAATACTGACAGTAGTTATTCATTATAACACGTATGATCAATTTAATTATAACCTTTCTTTAAAAAATCATTTTTACTCCTGTTTTTATTAAATTACATTTTAATATACTATATACATATATGTACATAATATGTATATGTTTATATGGTTTAAATAATATTATAATGAAAAAAAAAATATGGGAGGATTTTTTCATTCTACCATGTGAAATTCGCACTATACAAAAAACCATTCTACATATATTTATAATGTTGGCGGAAAATGAAACAAATTTGAATGACAAGTGATTTTTACCTTATATAGAATTATTTATTTTGAAAATTAATTTACTTACTATATACTTGTTTTTATTGTAACCCTTTCTAGAACAAACCATCAAATGTATATACAAGAAATTTATTATACTATATGTATTACATATAAATGACTACTATATTGAAATAAAATATGTATGAATAGTTTACAGAGATTGAAGGAAATATTATATGATTCTATATATTTTCTCATTATAATTCATAAGTACCTACATAATATTTTATACATTTTTCCATTGATATAATATTATGTATATGAATTTTGATTTTTGAATTAAACTTAAAATATTTAACAAAAAATGAAAATATAATATGGTGATGAATAAATAAATAGTGGTCCATATATAATATATAATTAAAATTATGTACAAAATAAGTTAAGCAATGAATAAATATATATATATATATATATATGCATATATATATATATTGTAAAGGAGGCGGGGGGTGGTGGTTTTTAAAAAATTTTATTATGTAAAGGAACAAACAACGAAACACAAATATAAAGTCTTTTTTCATGTTATTTTAAAATACTAAACATTATATGATTTGGAAATAAAAGATTTGGATGGCATTAAAAGGAAATTTAATTCTTTATATAAGAAAACAAATCGAACTAAAATCCCAAATTTTGTTCTAATTATTTAGTAATCTTTTTTGATTTTAATTTTCAAACTTAATTATTTTTTAAACGTTTTATTCTTATTTTATTTAATTCGGTTTCAGTTTTCTAAGAAAATTACTTATAAAATGTTTTAAACTTTAACAAAATTTTAATATTTTATAATAAAAACAAATTAAAAATAAAAAATTTATGTAAATTAAATTATTTTATATTTTAAAATATAAATTTTAATAATTAATAAGAAAAATATAAAATTTGTTAATGTTTGTGTTCATGTTTTGGGCAAATTTAATATAAAATTAGCATTTAATTCTTAAGTATACTGAAATGAGAAGGTTTTTTCTTTACAACTTGGATAGAAAATATTGAGTGAATGACTTACACAATTTTTGATTATTATCGATCTACATTATCGATACATAGTAATACTTAAGTAATATGTTTGTTCAATAATGTGTGCAAATCAGTTTTAAATTGTGATTGTTTTTTTGGTAAAAAAATGAATGCAATCTCAATTAAAATCAAAATTTTTAATTGAAATGAATAGGTATTATTTAAAATATGTATCTTTGATGGAGAACGAAAAATGCGAATTTGAAAAATTTGTAATAACGTGTCAAAAAACAATTCCGTAAGGCGCCAATTAAAGCATAATAATATTTCGATTGGATTTAATTTTCTAAAAAATCATAACTTTTGGATTTTATTTTTTGCATGTTAAATAATTTTATTTTAAAATGTAATTTGTATTAATAGAATTTTTATGTAAAAGTCTAGTGACTTTTAAGGTTTTTACATTTCATAAACATGGGTGAATGTAAACTTATTTCTATCGATTTTAAAAGTAAATCGTATCAATATCGTCAGCAAAATTAAATGATTTTCTGATTTTATGAACAACAAGTACTAATTTTTTAATTTTAATGAAGTTTTTTCTTATCAAAAAAATTTTTTTGAATACGTAAATGAAATGTGATTGTAATCTTGTTTTTACAATAAAATTTTTTGTATCTACGTTACTCTAAATCAGCAAAGTTAGAAAAATAAAATATTTAAAATACTTAAGGCTTAAATATTTTATGAAAGTGATATTAAGTAACGTTAAAATTAAGACAAAAGAAACTCATAAGGATTGTTTAATTTTTGTGTCATTCAATAAAATAATTTAAAGAAAAAATACATAATAAATTATTTTTACTGAAGGTAAAAGAAAAACGCTCATCAATTATACATAATTACTATAATTGTAATCGTAAATAAAATTATACGAATACACTGTATTTAAAAACTAATATAATATAAAAATATAAAATTATAATTAAATAATAAATTTTTATTATAAATATGTTGAAAATTTATATATTCAATTAATTTTCAAAAAGCGTTTAAAAACAGCCCCTATTTCTTTGTAATTGATTCTTCTTGTATAAATTTCATATTAAATATATATATACAAAATTAATAATAATAATATATTACTCAAACTTCAGAATTTGTTTTTTTTTTGTAAGAATATTCTTTAATTATTACGATTTGAATAAGCACAAAAAAAACTCAACTTTAATAAATTAAATTAACTAATAAACAAACACAATATTTGTAATTCATAAAAATTTTAATAACCTTAAAAATATAAGTTCAAACACGGAAACACGGAAGGTAATCGATATTAAAAATCGATTCGATTATTAAAGCGATAAATAATTTTCTAATTAAAATAGAGATGGAGTATAACAAAAGTTGGGGAACAACAAAAAATAAATTGTACTTGGAATGTATTCGGTTGTAAAAAACATAAGAAAAATTCTTATAAAGTTTTGTTTCGTAAATATTTTTGAAATTTTCTAGAATAGATGTTTTTTGGTAATCACTTTCAATTTTAACCTGTGTAATTTTCATGGAAAAATAAAAAAGCAAAATTTCTCAATTTATTCAAAAGAATATGGACTAGACGGCACTATTATAAAACAAAAAGTAATTTTTGAAATTAGAGAAATTTAAAAGATTTTTATTGTTTTAAGTTACAGACGAATCTGTTAAGTTAAGAAGAATCTGTAATAGATTTTTTAATCCAAGTAAAACATTTTAATAATTATCAAATCTATTTATGTGCACTATAATAGCCATGCTACAAAATCAGATATTAGATTACAAATTGAATATCAAAATTTGAGTATCTGAATTATTAAATGAATTTAATTTGGAATAGTTAATAGAATTGAGAACTTTTATTGAGCAAAATACCTATAGAGGCACTTCACGCATAAATTGACATTTTATTAAAGGAAGTTTCAGAATGTTACCAATTTTTAATATTTTGTTTGAAGCACAAAATATAGAGATGCAGACTTAAAGTATTAAGTAATATTAAATTGAATTGAGGTCTTTCTCTATATACCTATATAATTATGGTATATATCTATATAGATAAAATTTATTTTATATATATAAACAAAATTTGAACATAAATCAAAATTATAATTATATATACAATTAAGCAAATTAATTATGTACTAAAAGAGTTAATATTATATTTATTATATATGAAATTAAAAATTTTAATAATTTTGTATTTTGCTGTATATAACCAACTCCTTCATCATTATCAAACATTTTAATATTTTATTTATGTAAATTGTTTTTTTTTTTTGTTTCTTTTCTTTTTTTTTTGCCATAAATATAATTATGATATTATATAGGAATTATATACTTTATTATAAAATTTAAATAAATATAAACATTATATTACAATTAAAATAGTTTTACTATATAATAAGAGTGAATGCATACACTAACCAGTCAGTGTAGAGAAAATGCTTTTCTATATATATATAATATTATATAACCAACAAAGCTATGTTTTTATGTTTGTGTAATGTTAAAATATTTAATTTATTATTCAATTGTGTTTTAAATGCAATTTATTAGAGTGTATATGGCATTGTTTAATTGAAATGTTCTTTATGTTTAAATGTTTTATGTATATAATGTATGCACTTGCTAAATAGCTATACTTTAATTGTACTGTATGTATATGTGTAAGTGCATAAACTTTCTTAAAAAAAAATCTATGTGAATATAATTAAATTTATATGCACTGCTGTCTAGTTAGCTTACGCATTTCAAATATTATTATTATGTAAGTATATATTATTAAATTTTAATGTATATAATATTTGTATACATATGTATATAATATTGAAAAAGAAAAAAAAACAAAAGCATTGACCAGAATAATTATTTATTGTAAATTTGTATGTTTTGTATATTTAAAAAATTGTATCAGTTTTTTTTTCTTTAAATTATGCAATATGCAAATATTTAAGAAATTATATAATACGATATATATTTATAAGTATATATAAATACATATAACAAAAGAAAAACATATTACTGGTTCGTAAAGAAAAATAAATTATTACAAAAAAACAAAAAAAAAAAAATCTTTGAGTATTTAATAGAAAAGTAAAGTTTAATGAGCTCATACTTTGGCATTCGGCTGATACTTGAGGGATCCAAAGCCAAAATAACACTCCAAATGTTGCTGTAAGAAAAAAAAGAAAACACAGATATGGAAGAAAACAATAGTTTTTTTTTTTTTTTCAAAACTTTTTTGATTTTATGAATTTTTTTTTATGATAGAGAACAGAATAATTTTTTCCTTTTGTTTCTTCTTAATAAAAATTTCAAAATTTAGACAAAAATTCTGCAAAAATCTTACTTATTTTTTATTTTTTAATTAAATACAAAATTACATTGTATATAAATTATTATAAAAACTTTACATTTGGGGTTAAGTTAAGTTTGCCCAAATATAACTAACCTTAATATTGCTCTAACTTTAATTGTTCTTTAACAATATCCTAAAAATTTGTATTAATTAGTTAACTCAATTCTCCGACATCTTAAAATTAAATACCGAACATAAATTGTTTATTTTTATTGCTTGATTAAACAAAAAAAAATTCGATTAGATCAGTTCTGTCGATAACTGTAGGAATGTCTTCCGAAAACTATTTCACAGTTGACAAAACAAATTCACTACTGAAATTTCAATGGTAAGTTTTTCGAGTGAATTTTGAATATAAGTTCCTATTTTCTTTTGTATGAGTTCAACACGACAAATTATTTTTTAAATTGTGTGTCAGTTTTTGTAAGAATTTATACAACTACAACAAAATTTTACATGAACAGTGGCCCTGCAATTTCTTTCATTTATGCGACATTTTAATACTATAATAAGATTTGATTGGTTTCGAAAAATGTACAAGTTGTTTTTAGAGTTATATGGCAGCTACTTAAACCACTACTTTAATTGAACTTCAATTAATAAGGATTTTTTAGTAACAACTTTTAGTATTGTTCGAACAACATTCGAAATTCGACAAATCTCTTACAATATGCAACAAGAAGTTTTTTTAATCTACGACCGTGTATTTACTTGAATCAATTCTTTTTTGTGTATAATTTCTTAATATAAACATTATTATGATAAAATTCATGATGTCTAAATTCGCCTAGTAGTTTTTATTAAACAGTTGTTAAATAAAAAATTAAATTTACTTATTAACACGCATTTAAATTTATTATAAATATATCAAATTCAAAAGTGTTTAACGTATAAAAAACCTAATCAAAAAGAGAAAATTTCCGGAATGAATCAAATAATTGATTTTAGCAATCATTGACTCTTTATAGGCCCTTTTAAAACTTAATTTTAGCAAATTAGAAAATAATTATTTTTAAAAGAGTGACAACTAATTGAAATCGCAATTTTATTACAAAATCTTTCACAGTTATTAAATTATAATTTCTAAAGATAGCCAAAGACTGTGAAACAAAATGATCTCAAGTTAAAAATTCATAATCATAATTTATTTTATTGCATTCTTTTCGAATTTATTACTTAAATTTTAAAATTCTGGAATAAATTTAAAACCATAACCACGAATTTTCAAAAGGATTTTTCCAATAACCTTAAACTTTGATAATAACTTTCAAAAATATTTTATTCTGTAGTTTAGTATATCATAATCTAAAAACTACATATTCTTTCGCTTAAACGCAATGTACAATTCACTTATGTATTTTGATTTTATAATGCCTTTTAAAAAGAAAACATACTCTTACGATGTGTTAGAGCGCTACCATTTAATAAAATCAAAAAATTTTATCTAATATTCCCATTCTTAATTATTTGTACTTTCAAGTTCAACAAAGCATATGTTAATTTAGTATAAAATGATATACATATTTATAGATTTGTATGTTCATTTATGCCAAATCACATATGTATATATAAGAAATTATCTTATAACACAAAACACTTTTAATAAAATATACCAAAATTATAATCTCATTTTAATGAACTCATTTTGGCAAAAACAAAGCGTTTGAAATAAGACACTCCACTTGTTGTACCTACCATTAAAACTCAATTTTTCTAAATCTTATTACTATTATATTAAATGTTGTAATTACAATTAATTGTAATTGTATATTTTAAAGCTATTTATAGCTACCAATATTGAAAACAGATTACATTATTAATTTGTGAATAATCGGATTTTGCAACTATATTATGTAGGTATTTATACATACAATAAAACATTATTATTGCATTTTAACGAGTACAAAATATACATATGTGAATAAAATTAGAAAAACAAATATGGTAAAACTGCGGTTATGATCACTAAATATACTAAATATGCTACTACTTAAAAAAAATAAGAACAAAACCACAGATTTATTTGATTTTTTGCTTTTTTTTGATAATATACACATATACATAATAGATCATCCCCAAGAAGCATTTTGGCAGTAACTAACTATTCAATTACAATTATTAAATTCGAATTTGTTCATTTCATTTTGAAATTAGTCATACTTATAATACGAATTAAATAATTATTATAATGAAATTATAAATTGACTTAAAAAATCTAATTTAATATTTAACAACATTATCGAATTGTTAAACAATTATGCTTCAAAAATAATTATATGAAAATTTTATAATATATAATTTACTAATTTACTTTTAAAATTAAACAATTTAATCTGAAAAATTACAAAATATTTTATTTTTTATATATATATATTTTCAAATATAAGTGTTCAATTACTACGACGATATTTCAAAGTTTATAAAATTAAAAACTTATATACTATAAAAATTCTATTTGTTCCTTCTTTTCTCCCATTGACTAACTATACTACTTATGCTATAAAAGAAAAATATTTAAAATTTTGAAATATTTTCTATAAAATAATCACAATATGCTTATTTGTTACTGAAATATTTTCAGTTCTAATGATTGAGGAATAAAAACTACAATTACTTTCATGTGAAAAAATATCTTTATCGAAAATGAATCGATTTATGTATGTATGTATATCTATACCTAGTGATTTTTACTATATATGTCAATTTGAGTCTCGAAATTTAATATGCAGTTAGCTCAAATAGTGAAAAAAAATTTCTATATGTTTACAATTTTTTATAATTAATTTACACACATTCTGTAAATAAAAAATTTCTAATAAAACAAAAAAAAAGTTTAATTGATTAAGTAAAACAAAAATAAAATTAATATTTTAATTTCATTCACTAAAATAATATTTGAGTAAAATTTTCATCTATTGTCGCTATAGAGAATCAAAAATGCAATTTTTTTATTTTAACATTGAATATGGTAATGCAGACACCACTTACAAAATTCTCCGCTAATTATTTTGCTTTTATGCTCATTACTCGTATTTGACCACAATTGTGTTTTAATAGATTTTTACTTACCAAAATTTATAATTACTTTAGTTACATTTATTTGGACTGGTAAAATAGTATTTTAATATTGTCTATGACAGTCAATTTAAAAGATTAACATTGTTTTTATTTTCCCCAAAACACCTCATACTTTGTAATTCTGTCAATATAATTTGAGATATGTAGATAAATTACATAAACGTATACAACAAAATTCCATGAAATTCGATTTTTTAAATAAGTTTCTACCGCTTTACAAAATTATGCACTAAAAACCAGAAGTTGACGGTCTGAAGTTCGAACTAAATTCTTTTCTTTGTCAAAAATATTACCTTGTACAACGCCGTTAAAAGCAATTAATCTCAAATAATGAATCGACAGTATATTAAGTTTATTCGACAGTATTGTAAGAAATTATTTCATATTAAAAATTTTTTAAGTTGAATTTTAGGAAAACGTCCAATCTGGTAATTATAGTCAGTCTAGCTTATAAGAATATCGAAAATTCATCATATTTTCGTTATTTATATCAATTGGACGCATAATTTATTAATGTGTGTATATTATTTAACTGTCTTTGAAAATTCAGTGCTAAGCTGACACTTTTAAGTTAAAACGAAAATATTTTATATGAGTCAAAACTGAGGAAAAATCTAATGTGACAGAAAATCTTTTGCATATCATTCATTGTTGTTTACCTTATTCAAAAAAAGTACAGCTTAGTGCAAGAAAAACACCAAGGCCATTTTTTCGTATTTCTTAAATTTACTGGCAGTACTCGATTTTCTAAAATTGTATACTAAGTCAGCCTTTTTTTTTCAACAATGCTTGATTGACATTATTAAAGTAACACACTGCTGATAAGATCTTACTAATAGAAAGATTGAAACTGGAATTTTCAAAAACGCGGTTTAGAAATAAAAAAAAAATTAATTTTCTTCAACGCGGCATAATTTATTTTTCTCTTTAACACAGGGACATACATATGCACAGCCGAAATACATACATAACAATGAATTGTTCAAATCAAAATATTTTACAACGACAATCAAATATGGTGTATGTCCCAAATTCAGATTGCTATCATACTATAATTACAACAAATTTTAGGTTATAATTGCCGAATTTTTTACATACACATTTTAGAAAGTGCTTAACAAATAATTATTAGTAATTCTACAGACTCACCATTTGTACAACATTTTTGTTGCGTGAACTTATGCTAGCACATAAAATTTTTAGCGTTGTTTATAAAAAAAATTCACCCGCAATGTAATTTTTGCAACAATCAAATTAAATACAGTAGTATTTTGGTATAACAGTTATACCATATTATATAATTTAAATTTGTAACATTTATTATATTATTATATATATATATGTATATACAAACCTACGGAAATTATAAATTTCACTAGTGTTATATTTGATTAAATTAAAATAAAATAATTTCTTAATTTTATTATAATATTTAAGAAAAAATCAAAAATTCTGTAAAATAAATTTAATAAATTTTTAGGAAAAAAAAAAATCTTATTACATATAAATGTAATTATTTTTTGTGTAAAATTAAAATTATAGCAAAAATTAAAAAAAAAATAAGATTAAAATTAAAAGCTTTTATTTATTTGCTTTACAATTTTTCAACAATGTAATACCGACTTATCAAATGAAATTTGGGCTAAAATTTGGTTCGTTTTGTTTTAATTTCATACAAAATAAAAATGAAATCGATTTAATAAATATGAATAATTGAAAAACAAAAAGAAAATAAATTGAAAAGATATTTTTAATTTATGAAATTCATTTTTTATATCCTGCTTTATTTGTTCATAATTATATTACATATAAATATATAAATATTTTTTTTTAGTTTTTATTAAGTCTATGGTAATTTCAGTCTAAAATATTTTCTTAATTATTAATGAATTGAAATTCTTTTAGACCATTATAAATAAATGAATTAGATTACAAATAAGTGAATTTTGAAAATGTCAACTAATAAATATTTTAAAATTATCAATTAAAATTATTATGAGCATGCAAATCATAAGTTAACACTTCTTTTTTATAACTTGAAAATAAAATTATAACAACTAAAACAAAAAAATATATAAATTTTGAAAATAAAATTTCTCACTGAGAAAATTTTGAAAATTTCTTAAGCTTTAATTAATAAAAGTAAAAAAAAATAAAATTTAGAAATTAATTTTTTTCCTTTAATTTAGTGAATACACGTTTTATCTATTTTTGATATTTTTAATAAAAGAAACGTTTGAAAATGTCAATTGAAACATCAGTTTTATCAATCTTGGTAATCTTTATTTCAATTATTAAAAATTATTGCTCTTTAATGTGCTCACAATTCATACAATGATACAAATTGAAAATATCAATCGAAAAAAACAGTAAACAAATACCTAAATGAGTAAAGAAATGTTATTTTAAAAAATCGGCAACAAAGATTTCGATTATTTCGAATTAATTGATTTATGTTGATTAAATGATTTATGTTGAACAACAAAAATACTTTTAATAGAAATGACGGTCATTTTCTTATTTTTGTTGTGAACACTCAAATGAATTCGCAAAAATTTACAGCTTATTAAATCTTAAAAACTTTATTTAAATCAAATAAGTGTTATGAGCATTCACACATTATTATAGCTCATTGTTTACAAAATTTTTAATGCAAGACTATTTTGAAAGATATTTAAAATTTAATTCTTGAATAATAACACTTAACCCGCGTGACTGTTTTCATTGAATTTAGTGTTCAATAGTAACAAAATAACCAAAGAAGAATTTTGAAATAGTAAACAGAAGACAATAACGTAACATGTACACAATTGTTAGACGATTGCCGTACGATTTGTGTTTGTCAAACATTTTAGAATTGTTGACGTGAAGTGTCCACTCATATCGAGAACACAACCGTATCAAATAAATATTTTAACATTAAAAAATTTGTATGATAGATTAAAACGAATATCCACATAGTTTTAATAAATTTTATAAATAATATCATACAATTAATAAAAATAAAAAAAATCAATAAAAGAAATTTTCATATATTTTTGTTCTAGGGATTATAATATGTATTATAATATGTAATCAAAATAATAGAATAATGAAACACACTATTTGAAAAACATTTTCCACTATGTATATATATATATATATATTTATATGTATATATATATATCTATACATATATTAGGTGAAATATAATATTATGTTGAAGGTAATAAAAAACAATAAACATAATGAATTTGAGAAAACTAAAACTTACATGGAAAACAATTATCGGCCAAGGCAATTTTTGCAGAGAGCAGCAATATAACTGGATAATATTCAAGAATAAAAGAAAAAATAATTAATATAATTTTATATTTATTAATAAATATGTAGATGTTTAAAAATAAATAATAAAATTTAATTTAATTTATAATTATAGTTATTCATAAAGTTAATAAATATAAATTCTTGGAACAGCATAGAAAAACTATTAAGCTAAAATCTTCATCGTATTTTAATCAAACTCAAAATTTTATAAGAAAATTAGCTCAAATAAAAATTATTTCAAATTAAATTTACAATAAAATAGAGATTACTGCAAAATTCTAGAGCGGATCTTTACTATCTAATCCAGAATATGCAATTAGTTTTACCTAAAGGTAATTGTGATCACAAACACTATAATTTTTATACAAAATAATGCGATTGACTTTTTCCTTATATTAAGAACTTACTTTTAAAATTTTTAAATTTGACTAGATCAATTTAAACTTTATACTTTTTTATTGAAGTATTATAAAAATTTATAATTTTTGTGAATTTATTTCAAAACATTTGTTTGTCTTAAATTTGTTTCCCAAATTAAATTTAATTTAACTTAAGTATATTTTAATTATAATAGAGAAAAATCAATTATTCTTAACAAAAATATACCTTTCTTTATACTTTACAATATTAAAAAGAAAACAAAAAATATACAAAAAAAAATTTATAAAAAACTAACACGCAACCATTTTTCAACAGTACAAATTTATCGCACCATTTTAATAAAATACACAAAGCAAAAGAGAAATAATGAGAAAAAAATAATATTTCCCTTATCCTTTTCCATCTTTTAAAAGTAATTCAAAGCAAATCATTAATTTTAGCTTTGCGTTTTGTTATACTCGTATATATTATACTTTACTACATTCCTTACACCAACTGAAAGTGCTTCAATTTTATTATCATCACTAATTCTGAGACATTAAGGAAAACAAACAAAAAATAACTATTCCATCAACTTTAGGGTAAGTTTTTTCCCCTAAGCAAATCAAAATTTTTTTAACATTATTTTTTGTTTTGTTATAGTGTGAATAAACTGTGATTACGACAGGATTTTGATTTATAAAACGTAAAATTTTTACTTTGTTTCACATCAGTTTTAAATTAAAATTAATATTTAAGTTATTTATAGATTTAAGATTTAAATTTAAGATTTTTGAAGTTTATTATAAAAAAAATATAAATTGTTGAAATTTTGTTTATAAAAAGGCAGAAATTAACGAATTTAATATTTAGAAATTCATAATACGTCTGAAAAAAAATTAAATTCTAGCATTCGTACACAAGGATTATCCTTTCTATTAAGAAAACTTGTTAAAGAAAAAAATCTCATTAAGGTAGAAAAAACAAACAAAAAATATTTTATTCAATGATAACAAAAACTGTACTGAAAGTTTATATTTTAAATTACTGGTTTTTTTAAGGTTTATTTCTTTAATACTGATTAAATGTATCCCGTTCAATTATTGTAAATCCTTGAATGTTTTTAAAAACATAAAGGTATATGAAAGTGTGCTTTTAAGATATGTCAGGGCGTTGATTTGAAAGTAAAAGGCACGGGAAAATGTAACAGAAATTAAAAGATTAAAATAAAAGCACACTTTTATTCACAAATTCAGTATATATACCGCATTGGCATAGGTATACCACGTTTTTTGTAAACAAAAGACGTATTGGTTAAAGATGAAAACTTATTTCACATGTCAAAATATCATCTTGTTCAATTTACTGAACGAATTACCCTTTGATTAACTTTTAAAAGGCTGAACATTCAACAAATTTTTTATTATCCAATAAAATTAGCATAATTCCTTATTTCTTCAAAAGTCAATAAACTTTTATATAAAGTACGAATGTACCAGGAATTTTCCTCTCATGATTCAGCTCCCGTGATTCTTTGTTTTTTGTTCCCTCACTTAATCAATTAGTAAACAAATTCATTTTAGCTATGTACTAGCATGTGTAATTTTTTTGAATAATAATCATTAAAAATTTTAGGTTTTCTCCCAAATTTATGCAAAATTATATGATAATAAGAAAATTATTTTATTGGAAAATTCTCAGTAGCTATTTAAAAATCTAAACCTACATAAAAAATAAAATAAAATCAATGACGCAATACATTCGCAATAGCAGAATTATATACAAATGAAAGCGAAACAATATACAAATGACTTAACTGCGCTAGACATAACAATTTAACTATATTAGTGATATTTTAGCAATGTTTTTGATAAAACTTGATCTGCAACATTTTTGTTAGTGAATGAAGCTCGGTATCTGTTTATAAAAACTCTTAAATAGTTAAAAAAATGTGGAAGCATCTATTTTCTATTGTTAACCGTAGGTGTGATCGAGAAAATTTTTTTGAAATCTTCTAAGAATTTACCGTGAAATTTTATTTTTTCCTTATCAATTTGGAATTAAAAATCATTAACGCCATTAGCTCTTAAATGTTGTACAAGTCTAAAAACGAGGAAAACATTAGTCGTAAGCTCTTTAGATCCTCTATTTAAACAATTGAGTAAAAAACACGAAATATAAAAGATATTCACAATCACGTTTTCTTGTATAAATTAAATTTGGAAGAAAAAAATAAATTTTTTAAAAAGGAATTTTGCAAAATATTTCCCTTTCGTTAAAATTTTAATGAATTTAAAAAGGGGGTAAACAAAAGAGCAAGTATAGGGTAAGTATTTTTCTTATCATTAACGTACATTAAAAGTATCTAAATAAATAATTTCTAATGTTGGAACGTTTTCTGTTTGTTACTAAAAATAGATTTTTCTTTTCGAATTGTATAGAAAATAAATTTTAATGTTTATATTAAATTTATACACGCATGAATAGATTTTAAGTGTTGGTACGATATTTTGAAGAAAAATTGACATTTCATAGATAAAATCATAATATGAAGAATGTTGACATATTTGAAAATACAACTTTGAATATTGGCAAATATATGAAATTTAAATAACCTAGAAATATTCATACGTAGACGCAGCATGCTGATTATATTTTTGAAAATTCATTGTTCATAGAACATTTAATCAAACCAAAGAATTATAAACCAAAGTTAATAGCGATTTTCGATAAATTTTTCAATACATACATATGTACATATATTAAAACAAAGAAGAATACTTTCTACCATTTCCAAACAAACTTAAAAAGAATTATTAATCGATAATAATTTAAGCATAGCAAATTTCTCGACTCTTCTAAATTCAATTAAATTGCAAATTTCATTTTATTTCATGTACCAATAATTTTACTTTTTGGAATTTATAAAATTATATTTTTAATGTAAATAAATTCAAGAAATGAACAAGCATTTAACTGAATTAAAAATTTATTTAGTTTACATTGAACAAAATTCAAAAATGACAATTGAAAATGTAAAGTCATAGTTGTACAAAATTTCTTTTCGATTTAATATTCAATAGAATTAAAAAAATTTATTCAAAATTATTATTTATTTACAAAAAAAGTCAATCGCAGTTTGCTTTTTTTCTTCTCCAATTATTCGAAAAGCCTAACAAAACTTCTACAAAACCTATAATTTAAACGAAAAAAAAAAGTAAGAAACTTTACATAAAACATATTTTCCAGCTAAAACCGCATTTATTAGATTTTAAGTTAAAAAGTTTATTTCCGTCAACTAAATTTCTCCAATAATTTGAAAATAATTTTTTCCGGAACTATAAAAAAGAGAAGAAAATTTCAACTTCAACTTTTTTGTTTTCTTTTTTTTTCAAAATCATGTAATTTTTTTGTATCCGCAAAAAAATCATTTAATTATATTGCAAGTGACCATGTTACATATTTTAAAATAAATTGTATGCCATTTTAATCCGACCCAACAATCCTAATAAATCCCTGAGATTAAATTAAATTATAACCAGTGAAAATTACTTAGAAGAAATATATTGAAAGAGAGTTGATTTTTCTACAAATAATTTCTTACTTTTTATTAATACGAGTACTTTTCTTATTGCTTTTTTATCGGCTCTCGAAAATATAAACGCTGTAAGTGACAAAATAGGCAAAATCAAGCTAAGAATATAGAAATAGATTCTTTTAGTTCATAGATATACTAAATAAACATAGTCTATAAAAAATATAGTTTTTGGAGTTAAAGCAGACTTTTAAAATATTAATACCGCTTGTGTTAAGATTTTAGTTTTTTATAGTATTATAATATTAAATATATATGTAATTTTTTATGTAAAATACGAAAACTATAACTTTGACAAAGTGTTTACTGAGCGCGCGAAATGGCTATAATCACATATAAAGCACTTTATTTAAATTAAAATCCTTTGTTTTACAATACTTAAATCATTTCACTCAATTATTAAAATAATATGGTCACTTCAATAAATTATGTACTTTAACTCGAAAAGTACTGTACACATATACAAATATGAATTTCTATATAATTATAATAAAATTAATGTGCTTACAACCCTTACTTATTATTTCTCTGTCCCTATTAGCATATTCCAAGTAATTCACCTACATATAAAAATACCATTTAAAAATAATCCACATCTATAAGGTAAGTATACTCCTATATTACTATGCACATAAATATGCAAATTTCAGCATACATTTACATAACATTATAAAATATTAAATAAAACAAAATATTAAGTTAATAAATATATATATATATATATAAATGTATATAGGACATACTTATATACGGTTAGTATATAATAAATATATAAAAAAAATAAATCAATAAAATTTTCTCCATTTTTATTTTATTCTATATACTAAAATACTATATATGTATAATGTATACTAACCAGTGATGGTAATAATCCATTTAACAGAAAATATATCACCTATTGGTATACCATAATATCGTGTTGTAATATTTGATGAAACATATTTTTTATTGTTATCATAATATTTTTGAATTTTACTGTCATTTTTCCTGTTATTTCTATGATAATTTTCATTTTTATTCTGTCTATTACCATCACCATTATATATATTATTTTTTAAATCATCACTATCGATATTGGTAGTGCCGCCATCATTATCTATTCCATATCCACCACCACCACTACCACCACTTTCATCATCATCATCGTCTTTATGCACGAAATGCCCGTCAATATTATTACTACAATTTTTATCAATAATTTTGATATTATTGCCTCCACCACGAACCCCTTTATCCGAGGTCATGGTGAAGTAAAATTATCCACCTCTTATATTATAGATGCAGTAGCAGGTTAGTAGTTTAAGTACTTCCAAAGGCGAATACATGTAAAATACAAAAATAAAATAAAATTATGTTGTTTGAAGGAGAGAACCTTCAAGTGTTTTTTTAACCACTTTGTATAATCCTTTTATGTCTTGATTTTATTTCTTGTTTTTATATATATATTCTGCTTGTTGAATTTTAATATAGTGTTTTTTTTTTATTTGTGTTCTGAGATGTACTTTAGATAAGATGATGTAATTTACGCTTTAGGTTATTGAACATACTTTCTTACTTACTGTTGCTGCTTTGTTTTTGATTTCTTTTTTTTTATTTTATTCAATTTTCTTTCAATTTTTTCTCATTATTTTGTAAATTTAATGAATTTTTCAAAATTCCTCTTTATATAATTTCAGAAGAGCGTATCTATATGCTTATGTTCTGTAATTATGTTTTTATTTAGTCCTTTACTGTTAAAAAATTATCATTATACATTGAACTTTTAATATAACCTTTTGCTTTGTATCCTTGCAGTATATCAGTATGTTCGATATATATCTGAAATGAGATATGTGAATATATATATTTTAGTAAAATATAATGAAATACATTGATTATAATAAGTTGAAATTATAAAAGTAATGTTTAAACAAATTGTAATAAAAAAAATTGCTTTAAAAATTTCTTATTGAAGAGATTTACAGGTTAATTAAGTTTTAAAACAATTTTTTAATTTTGTTCAATAAATTTTTTTGTTCCTTAATTTTGAAATACAAAAATAATTATTTTATTATTGTTTAGTTATAAAAATTATAAATAAGAGTAAAAAGCGAATCTGTTACAGCACTAGAATAAAAACAGGCTTGAATCTCAGGCGGAGGCGGAGACACATTTCCCGATACACACTCAAATTTCCCGGCCTTTAAAGTTTTCATACGTTTTTCTCTGTGTGTTAATAAATCAAAAGAATAATGACAATTCTTTTAATTAAACTCAAACAATACCAAAAACTTTTAAATCATAAAAACGAAAATGTTCAAATTCTACTAAATTTTCCAAGAAATTTCTAAAGTGATTAGTTAAATATTTTTGAATTTTTACCACCATGTCGCATTTTCACCGGAAATGAATTTCCACGCATGCCGCATTTTCACCGGAAACGCATTCATAATAGAGAAACGGAATAGTTTACTTTTTCGTAGTCTCTTAGCAAAATGTCGGTCTACCTAATTTCTTTAAATCGGAAAGAAATGTACATTATTAAATAATCATAAATAGTACCTATAAATTTTTTACAAATGAATAAAAAATAAATTAAATTATTGGCAAGAATGAATTTTGTAACTCTGTAAGTATTAAGGTAAATCTAGCTTTTAAAAAGTTTTAAATTTTTTATCTTTAAATGTCCTAAATGTCTTTCAAGGACATTTTGGCCAAAAAAAGAATACAGAAATTAGAGCGGAAGTTTTTTGTCCCATTTTATAGGCTATGAGGATACAAAGTATGACGCCAAGTATCAGGAACCACCTATCTGGAGATTAATAAATCTATGCAATTCCCAAAATTTCTATTTAAATCAACTTTTTCTAGTTAAAAATTTTACATTTCCTATACATGAAGAAATACAACCTCTACTCTAAAATTCCACTACTACTTTTTACAAAAATTATGATGTTGTTAGAATAATAGAGAGGGCTATTTTTATAGCGATAATATATATATATTTAATTACACAATTCGTTACAACAATTTCACATACAATATAAGTTTACACAATAGAATTTGTTCCAAAAATCTAATCACTAAAGGATATCGTAAACGATACTCAGAGTATACTGTCAACTCAATAATACCCAGTAGTGCCAATGTTAGCATATATTATTTACCCCATATACAAATTTTTTTTCTAAATAGCAGCCTTTTTACTAAACTTTTCCCTTTCGGTTTAAATAAGTTTTTGGATATTACAAAATTATTCTTAAAGCAAAAAGACGGATTGATAGTCATACTTAAACTGACTTAGAAATCGACGCAAATCAAAAACATACGCTTGTATCTATATCTCAGACGGCTTCTTAGCGTAAAAGAGTCACAAATATTATAAATTTAACATAGTGTTAAATTTATAATATCTTTCTAACACTCGTTCTTCCGTGCGCATATTACAAATAATTGTATAATTATTCTTTTAAACACAAACCAATTCATACAATGGTTTGTGTCTGTAATTAAATCCGTATTGCTTAGTAATTGGTCTCGAATCCCTAATATCTTATGAACATTAATCTCGATTGAAAATTAATAAACTTAAATTTCAATTGGCAAACCAAATCTTACGACGGTTTTAATTGGAATTTTTACAAATCATAAAAAACAAAAAAAAAATTAATTAAATAAAATTAACTGAAGTTGAAGATTTAGTTTAGAGTTGAAATTTTAGTTTAGTTGCTAATTTTATAAATTAAAATTTGTTTTGTTTTTTCAACCATATTAAAAAAGTTTCTTCAATTCATCCCATATTCTAAAATTTTATTTTTAAGTCATAAAGATTAATTTTGACCTTCAAATGTTTTATATAAAAGAATTATTTTAAAATTTCTTAAGTCGTCCTGAACTGTTATTCATAAAACTGTTATTCATAAATTATGTTTTGTTAATTAAAGGAAACGGAATGGAAAATATTTTTTGAAGTATATTACAGAAACATCATTAAACTCTCATTATATTTTGTCATGACATTAAAGTGGAATAAAGTCTTCTTAGTATATTTAAATATTAGTGTTACCAGCAGTTCTGTATTTTAAATTGCTTACACTAAACTGAAGTAATAATATTAACTGAAATGCTTAATAATTTCAAAGTTTAATTAGTGATTCAGTCTGTATAACTTTGAAAACATATAGTAGTGATCTATATTTTTCTCTTAATAAAATGTTTTTCAACTAAAATAATTGCAAATTTTATTTTTCCATCGGCGTTTAATAAAAATATTATGCTGTTTTATGAGATAATAAAATTCAAGTTGGTGGACATGATTCGATTTTCAAAATGACACGGAAATTTCTATATTTAAATCTCTAAATATACATACTCACATATTAGACAATTTTATAAGTACAATATATCGCGATGTACATACATATAGTCTGAATCAAAACTGCGCCATTTTATTAGCAAATTCTGTCAATCAATTTTGTGCATAAAAATTTGGAACACGTTTCATAAACATAGAACAGTTAAATTATCTTTTGTACTTTTTTTGTTACACAACTTTCAAGATTCTATTGTGTGAATATCACGTTGTACCTGCATACTTCGTACTTGAATTAAAACTTTTATTGCTTTTGTGTTGCAAGACTTCTATTGTTTTGGGTCAGCGCCACATACATTTGCGCATAAGCAATTAAATCAGGATATTAATACACTTTATTTTAAAATAAGACTTAGAAAACTAGACCGAGTTCAAATATTTAATATTAATAGTTTTCTTCAAAAATTTCTTAAATTTTTAAGGTTCTTCGGTATCATGAAAATTTGCTTGTAAGTGAATTTCGTTTTATTTTATAGGCAAGCGGCTACTCGGATGTAAATATTAACTGCTATATAATTTATATTTTTTGGATTCATTCAGCAATAAAAATATATATGTTTTTTCTCTTTCCTTTTGTTTTTATATCTTTATCATCTTCATCCTTTCATTCACATGACTAAACGTTTTTCATTTTATTGTACATGGTTCCTTTCTTTTTCTCTATAGCAACTTTATGATTTCCTTCATATCCTTTTAATGAGCTACACATACACAATAAATATATATAGGGATAAAATTCTATATAAATAAAATATCTATTTTATATTTCATTTATTTATAGAAAATTTTCAACTTAAGGACAAAAGAAAGTATAATAAACCAATCAAAATTATTTGATGTAAGTAAAACATTTCTCATAAAATATTTATTCAATGAATTTTACAATTCAATATTAATAAATAAATTGGGATCAAAATGACCTAGAACCCAAATCAAAAACAACTTCTTTTCTTTTGTTTTTGAATTTTTATTTTTGAAAATGATGTTATAATAGCATTTGACATTCCAATATATTAAATTATTCAAGAGTTTTAATTTAATCCAACGCAAATGGAAGTACTTTAAATATATTATATACATAGTATGCGTGCATGCGTGTTTGCGTCTAAAATAGCTATAAATTTATTATAAAAAGAAAATTTTCAAATGTTGTAAATGAAGCATTCACATAAAATATTTAAAATAATTAACATTTGATTAGGTTTGATAATAAATACTCTTAAGAGATACTAAAATTAAAAATTTAAATTGAAGGAAAATGTTGAAAAATTGAAAATTAATAATTTTGCTTATCCTAAAAGTAGGCAATATTTTCAATTAATGCAATTTATAGTTAAAAATTCATTCTAACAGCATAGTGGACTCAGTAAATTATTTTGTTGAAGTTTTATCGTAACTTTTGTCGAAGCGAATTATTTTTTTTATTATTTGCTATAAAATAACTTGAAATACCCATTTCTGATACATTCTTTCAACCACCGTTGATATCACATGTTCTATTTTTTTTAAAATATCTTATTTTCTTCTCCGTAATTCTTGTTGTAATTAAATCTGCTCTCTGATAATTTTATAAATAAAGTATTTACACATTTAATTTCAATTTCGGTAGAAAAATTTGAATTGCATAACGATTTGGCAATCTAACGCAATTCTAACTACTTTTATGAGTATAGTTGTTAATCAATCTTTCGACATCTATCATCGAAAATAGGATTTTACGTCAAGTTGGCTTTTTTGAATTTTGGTACAATCTTCAAAATGTAAAACAGATTTCAGTTAAAAAATTCAAATTCAAGTCAATTCCATAAATTTTTAGTATGCACTTAGTCCACATGAAAGAAAAAAAATTATTTTAAGAACTTTTATAAAAAAAAGTATACATGTGTAAATTCATGCTGCATTGTTTTATTTTTTTAAAATATTGGCATTTGTAAGAATAACCTTTGTTTCTTTCCGAAATTCAGAATAAAAGTAGGATCTGGCTTTAGTAAACAATTTTATTTATCAAAATTTACCAAAGTAAACAATAAAATGAAAACGTGAAGTAAAAAAGTTTGCATTTTGGTAGACGCTCTTTGTGTACATTTGTAAATGAAGTCAATTTAAAAATAATTAAAAAAATCGATTGACAAACTCAAAATAGATTGCAGAACCAGAGAATTTTCATAATTATTGAAGAAGTTTAAACGTTCTAATTTAATAGCGTCGGAAATCTAAGCGAAAAAATAAAAAACATTTATTTTTTAAATTTGTGCACGAAGTTTTAAACACAGCAATTAGCTATGATTACAGACTTAAAATGCAATAGCTTAAATTCTACGGTTTGAAAGGAAAGCCTATGCTTTTAACGATGTAGGCAAATCCATGTCCCTTATGATCCATGAGCATGAGTAAGATATTCAGATAGAAGAAATAATTCAGAATTTAATTGTAAACTTTCTTAAGACATCAATAATAATAGAGGTCC